TTTGTTGTTCGGACAGATAATATGTCAAAATGAACACAGGCCCACCGTCGAGGATCTTTGTGGAAGAAACGTCTTTTCCTGCCATCCTGAATAGCAAACGAATTAGTGGACCATCCTTGGGCATTGATTGCAGTCGCCTTCATTACTCTTTAGGTTCATCCTCCCTCAGAAGTATGTTCTCCTAAATAATGCACTGAATTAAGCTTCTTCCACCACACCTGGACATAAGCTAGGACGGCTCACTATGAATTCCACGAGAGAAATCCAGTTGAAAATGTTCAAATCTGTGAATGAGTGCTCTTAGCGATGTGATGGCCTGATGAATCTCTGCCGCTGGGGATAAGCGGCCATTACCGCACGACCACAGCGGTTTATCCTTTCACCGGTGCCGCTCACCGTACCGTATCCTCTGCTATCTGTCAGTGTCTGTCGGCTTGTGTCTCTGTGTCTATGTGTATGATAACTGGTTGTTGTTGCGATTGTGTGGGTTTCTGTCATTCGGGTACTTGTGACGAGAGCTTCCGTCCCCCTCCGCGCGGTTGCGCTCGCTGCTGAACGCTGCTTCTCTTCATGCTCTCTAAGCCAAAGTGGGCCAACAGCGCTCATCGGTTGCCAGAACTTATCTTTCGCTCTAACGACCTTCTAAGTCCCATCCAAGAGTGGCCTCCTATATCTCAAATTATTCTCTGTATTCGTTATTTTCGGCCACCCAGCCGCTTTTTCACCCCGGCTACTTCTTCTTTTTGTTGTGACCTTTTTCGAGTAGGGCCATATATATGTAGGATAGTATGAGCTCCATCGCTGCATTTTGTTAGCAACATAAAGGTTGTTTTGGCATGAGCTTCAAAGCCCATTTTTCCCCCTAGTCCAACCGTCCTTTTTTGGCATTTCATCTACCCAGAAATAAAGGCGCCAGTGTGGAGAGAAGAGAGACTACCGATATGGAGGCAGCGAAATTTTTCCATCAGTGTTCCCATTATGGTTTCCATGGGTCCGGTGCTTAACACATCGGCCAAAATGCCGCATTGGCCAGCGGTCGCCCGGCTACGTTCGGGTAGTTTTCCGAGGACTTCTACAGTGGATCAGCTTTTTCCCAAGTTCCGTCGAGAACAAGTCGACTTGGCAGCATCACTTTCGGTGTGTTTCATTGCTGTTAAAATGTCGCGAGAGACTGTAAGGTCAATTCTGAAATGTAATGGCGAGGGGTAGTCCGACAAACGAGAAGGGGTTACCAGATCGGGTAAAAGCGAAAACAGTGCACCAGCAACAGTTGCGTGTTACCATCCAGCAATAAGTAATATAGATTTTTTAATCCCTTCACTGGCCGCCTGACACCCGAGAACACATATTTTTGGCCGAGCTTTTTCATGTAGGCTGAGATATAGCACAACCAAACGTGCTCCTTGGACGATTGTCTTTCATTATCCGGCTCCCTGTCTGTCTAACCATACTTAGAAGCTAGGATAACTAAGATTAGAAATGGTTACGCCCTTTGGGATACACCATGCATCCGACTTCTCTATGGAACCACAGTAGCACTTCAAATGGGCACTTGGCTTATGGGCGAAAAGTTAGTGGTAATAAGCGCCACTGTCACTGCAGACACTGTCGAAGAAAAATCATCGATAGGTTCTCACACAGAACAACCAAGCCTTGCACCTTTTTGCTGATTAAATGGTAGTTAATCCATTGTTAAGAAAATTAACAGACTGTACATCGACTGGCTCCCAGAATACGATGCATAGACCAAATATGGGCACTCACGTGCGTAAGGGGGACATTTAAGACATTACATTCAAAAACCGCTAGTAGGTGACACCATGACTAACAAGGGGGGTCTTTCAGGGCAAGCCGCGCTTTTTGGAAACGGTTTCTTGCATATTGTAGGGACGCATGTATGGACCACAAAACCATGTTTCGTTTTCGCTGAACGGTTTTAGTAGTACCAAAAAAGTGGTGAATGATACCCTTGATGGTTCGATGGTTCCCCCCGCGGCGACTAAATTTTGCAATCAAGGTTGGCGGCCACTTGTTGGCTTCAAAATGGTCCTGACGATGAATATGACATCTGATTTTGACATTTAGCGCGATTTGGCACCAACCCAAATGCAAAATTTAGTCGCCACGGGGGATCGAACCATTAACAGTACCTTACTTCTTTTTTGGTACTGCTAAAACCGTTCAGCGAAAATGAAACATGGTTTTGTGTTCCCTACATGCGTCCCTACAATATGCAAGAAACCGTTTTGAAAAAGCGCGGCTTGCCCTGAAAGACCTCCCTTGTAGCCCAGGAGTAGGGAGAAACGCCCCGAAGAAACGCCATGTTGCTCATCACATCGTCCTCAGAGTCCGTTCCCATTCCAAAGGCTTGATTCCAAGTTTTGTAAAAGGCTCACTCACCTAAGTGTCTCCCTACCGACATGAGCGCGATGCACGGACCAAATATGCATCCAAAGGCAATGAGATGTTGTATGAAAGTTGAAAGCGGGGCGCATTCTCAAGTGGGCTCTATTAGAGCTTACAATTAGTCACGTTCTTCTCTGAGTCATACAAAAGCTGCGGTGAGCAGCCGATGTTCAGTTCAGTGTTGGTTAAGCAAGCAAGTTTGGCACCAATAAATTGACTCAAAATGATTCATTAGGTTTGTTCGCGCGGTGGAATTCGGAGCGAGCGTGGCACCCCAATCCTGCCCTTCACACGTTTTCAAATTGAACTCCACGCTTGAGTTACACCTTGCCTTATTCTGAGTGGCCCTCTTGCTTATGACCGATATCGCCATATTCCCATTTCATTTACTTTGGCTAGTGTAGGATGAGAGGGTGGAACGATGCCCATTTCGGCGAAGGTTGAAGAACAATGACTCCTCTGGCCTTCGCCATCAATTAACCCCTTCCGCTGAGCCAAAGGCTGCCTAGGCTCCCATTTGAGGCTATTACAGGGCCGGATGTGGACACGTGCACAGTTCCAACACAGTGTTGTAGACGAGGCCTCCCGTAATGTTTGTAGCGCTGTGTGTTTGCCATAAATCTGCCGCCTTCTCCGAATGAATCGCAACCAACAGATCGCGGTTCATTCTGGGATTACCAAACCATACCGAGCGTTTACTCCGCCATTGTTACCCTTTTTTCACTTCATACAATAATTAACATTCACAAACATGTTCCGTAGCAACAGATAATCTTACATCTGGGTGGGGAGAGGACTATCGGGGCAAAAACTAACCCATATTAACGATCTCGGGATCTCATACTGCCATTAAAGAATAAATATTGTACCTCTAACTCCACTTTTATGATTCACGATCGCAAAAGTCTAGAGATGGCCTTCCGCGTTAGCTCTTGAAGGTTCGACTTTTCGATGGGTTCTCATGTTCTCTCGGTTGATTGCTTTTTTTTATCTTTTTTGCCATCTTTCCTTGCACGAACAGTAAATTTAATCTTTCGCTTTACCTCACTTCCTTTTTTTCATGCTCATAAATTTATTCCTATAGGTGATTCTCGAGCGCACGCCTTGCCTTTGCGGCGCTTTTTCCTGGTTCTCAGGCACTTGTCAGAATCTCCATTAACCGTTCCTGAAACCGCTTTTAGCTCTGAAACAATCGGGAATGGTTGGTTCTCATTTGTTCTGATGGCGATCGGATCTTTTGTGAATGCGTTTGATAGTACGGGGTAAAACTAAGTGGTGGTGAAGAAGGTCGTGCGCACGTTTGGCAAAAGCTGTTTGCCTTCGGCGGGTCGGACTCTCCAGATCTCAGCGATTTTGAGATCGATTGCGACGATCCTCTTATCACTACGAGCATTTTCTCTGATTTTTGCTCCCGATTATCTCTTTTTTTCCTCTCTGTACCACATCACTCTCAACTCATGATACCTTTCAATACTCGTCTGCAACCAGTATTCCATAGGCAATCAATAAACATTCGACTGGATGAAGTCTTCCTCGTCGGGCTGTTGCCTGAAACATTTGTCACTCTTTAAGACCTTGACTTATATAATAACTTATATCGCCGCTGCGAATCACGGGTGTCTCTCGGTGAGAGTTGCGTGCTACTTCTTGGGGGGCTGGTCCGCGGAGTCAACCTGGACAAAGGCCCGGTCTCTCCTGCTAACCATATGGCAAAATCGCTTTTTTCAGAGCCCGATATCGAGACTAAAACAACCTATCTACCTGACTAGCCTATCAAGTCGCTCAATCCAAATGATGTTCAGGAATCAAAGGTTAATTGAATAATCATTCATCGACTTTTGGGCCTTTTTAGGATTGTGTGAGGGGGCGTTAAGGAGGATGGCTATGTTTCTCTCTTGGAAAATGTTGACAATCGTACAATATTTATTTGCAATTATTATTGATCTCAAGTCTTTGAAAAAGTCCATGCTCCCTCTCTCCAGATTGCTGTACGCTTTTGAGTCGATAAAGCTTTTATCGCGATTAAAGACGTATGACTACCATCTGGTAGTGATCTGCAGCGCAAAATCCTCTTTGCACGACGGCCAACGATCCCCAGAGGATTTTCTTCTCTGTTGTCTCTCCACTTACACATCTCGAAAAAAAAAACTCATTAGACCTCATAAATACGCAAAATTGCTGTTCTCGGCTGACCTTGCGATAATGAGCCATCCCTGCTGAAGACTGACATGAACGTCTTCATGCGGGGCCATTTCCATCATATCGTCGAATTCTCTGGGGCCTTTTATGGTCATAACTCAACATAAACTCGCTTTTTCTTCTCGAATTACTTGTACTTGGAGTTCCTTGAAAGTTTACTTCTCTCATTCGCCCACTATTCGATAAAAGCTTTCCCACATGTGTCGCATGGAAATCCATATGTTTGTGTCCAGATTTCTCAGGCATTGTGACGTGCTTCCGGGACCGACTTTTCCGATTATTTCTGCCCTATCATCTCGTATATAATGAGTTTTGCTGACCTCTCGAGACCTCTACTCGTGCTCTTCCGAAAAGTATCGTCACCTAGTTGTGCTCATTGGATCCTTCAGGGTTAAATGGCTCGACTGGGAGCATGGTTGCTGACGGCCGTCATGGCCACACTGGCAATCAACTCCGCGGTAGCCACCAACTGCTCAGCTGCCGACGCGACCCGAAACTGCATCGACGGTCTTGTCGTGCCCATCTGGTGAGTGTCAGCTCGAATACAAAATTATAGCACCTTCGGACAATTTTGGGAGGCTAAATTTCACGCCAGAAGGAGAAGTTGCGCTCCAACAAATCCCTTGGCGATTTTAGAACTGATTTTCAAAGAGTCACGGAAGCTATCCTCCCATTCAAAAAGCGAGAAAGTGTTGGGTGCAGACCATACACCACAAGTGACGGCAGCATCCGAGTAAATCTGGTTAGTAGCGATTCATAGTGGTAGCTGATAGTTGGTAAATGATAGCAGTAATTAGTGACAACAGACAGAATACAGCTGCAACAGGTCAATCATTTCATTGGCGAAAATCATTTACATTTAATGACGGCCGTCGTCACTTGTGGTGTATAGTCTGCACCCGACGCTTTTTCGCTTTTTGAAAGGCAGGGCACATAGCCACGTTAATATTTTTGATGGTTATTATGTAGCCCATCTCCGTGAGCCTAATTCAATCCAGCTCTTACATGCTTCGTTTCTGGGCATCACTGGTTTTCCATAATGAAATAGGTGTTTAATCAAGATGCCAGTTTGATTGAAAGAATGGATTGATCGCTTCACTACGGTGGTTCATTTATCAAATTCACTAGCAGGCCCGCTTCAGCAGCGACGAAGACCACATGCAGCCAGTCTGCCGCGACCATCCATGAAATCTGAGAATGTGGCTTCGTAAGCACCAAAAAACTAGGGAGCTATATTAACAAAGACGAGAAAATGCAGGAGCGTTCTTCATTTGAACTTACCCATGCCATCAGTTTCAAGTGGGGAAATGCAACATGCTACTTTCAGTACCGGTTGGTAGATTACAATACTACTGGGCGTCTCAAAACAACTTACATCGGCGTAGCCACTTATCATTGTGATCTTATAAATATGAAATACAACCTCCAGAGGGATAATTATGTGAAAAAGCTGCAGGAGGAAGCGGAGCTGTGTGACCTTGGTCAAGTCCCGAATGAGCCATGCATTCAATTTACATCCAGAATCGTGAGGATTCACAGATATTGCTTATACCGCTACTTTCAATGTCGCCACCAAAACGTTATGATCAACCCAAAAGATTGAAAGATCGCTGTATGGCCCGCGCTTGACCAGATCCAGGGTTTAGACCACAGACAGTGTACGTGTGGCAATGGGCCTTTCTCTGCCCCTTTGCTTTCCAGTATCATCCAAGAGCCTGCCATGTTGTTGAAGGAACGTAAATGTAACTCCACCCCTAAAACTCGAGTTGTCGGCTACAGTCTGAAATAATAATTTTTGAGTCCCGAATTACAGAACTTGTATCCCCTTTGTGGTAGAAATTTGAATCTTATCTCTGTTCATGGATGAAAGCAAATGGTGCATCTTTTCACTAGAATGGTCCATTAGATCAAATCTGGGTCTCGAAATATTCCGTGGCCAACCAGGCCATCAATATGTTCCTTTGGTCGCTACCAAAGTCGGCTAAGAAGATGTAAACCCCCCCCCCAGCCTTTTACATTTACATCGGCTCTACTCAGGAAATCGTTGCATGTTGACCGCCTTCAAGTGCTTTAACGATTCTGAGTGGAAGTAGAATGCGTGGCGTACCCCGACATGAGATTGAGCGCCTAATGCCTTGAATGTCTTCCTTGGTGCTATACAAGTGGGGTGGGCACGCCGCATTTTTTGAACAGAAATGTATGTAAGTGGGACTGCTGCCCGCTACTATACTGTCACGAGAATCGGGGAATTCGTGAGCCAGGGGGAGTGTAGCCAATCTAGGGGGGTGGGGGGGGGGGGTGAGGCAGCTACTTGACATGCGTGAAAAGTTGAACGTGCCCACCCCACATGTATAGCACCTTTTCCTTTTATCTCTGGTTCATGCATGAAAAAATGGTTTACCCTATAGCAAATGTGCTGATCTGAAGCTGGAGAGGAATTTCAAAAGTTCTTTCTGTGAGAAAGAGTCAAGGAACGTTCCGTCGATATGTCTCCTTGTCGCGCTCACCATCGCTATGTTTGATCTGCTCGACTTTTTCTTGATGACCTCATACTGTGATTGAGCTATCACCGCACAAATATAAAACATTGAAGTCAGCTGAAATTCGAAGTGCTGACATTTCTCTGCGCGTCCAATAGTGCGAGAGTTTTCTGCGCAATTTACCCACATTGATCTGTACACAAAGGTCCAGGAAAGATTTGATTTGCCAAAAAAATGTTCTTGGTAATTCTGAACTTTCCTGGGTGTCAGCCGAATAACAGCAGCATAGGCGCCGGTAGTGTCGAATTGGTGGCTTTTCTAGCTCGAAGATTAGACAAGAAGTGCGAAGGAGAACCTGATTGGTTGAAAAAGCCAGAAGCGACATAGAGAACACTCACGTTTTTCTTGTAAGGTCGGCCGTGGTAGCATGGAGAGACATTGCTCTGCGGGCGTTGTGAAATGCGAATGAGCACACCGTGCACGAGAGGCTACAGACAATAAGCGCGCCGCGATTGGCAGCGGTCGCAGCGGTCAAGCAAGGGCATAAGCTCCTTTGTCACGCATTCTAACTGCAACAATACCACAAGCCTTGTGAATAGAGTTCCTCTACCTCACTTATGATTAGACAGAGAGTTTCTTTGAAGGTCTAATTGCTCTAAGGAACCAGTACCTTTGACAATCTTGCCAGTGCGAAGCAGTCATTAGCTATTGCGCTACCAGGTGGCTAAAGGGTGTTAACCAGAGTTATTCGTCCGTTCGCACTATTCTAACATGGGGGCCGCAGATGTGATTTCGGGAGGGGGTCATATATGCGATTTCAGGAGGGGGTCGCATTTTTGGGGTTGAGCGAAGTCAATAATCTTTTGAGAAGTGCGAACAAAAGTTGTCAAAAGGGTTGACATTTAGACGAGGTTTGGCGAATTTGTTGGAAGTTCTGAAGTTGTGTGTTTGCCACTCCATTATATGTACTAATTTATCTCTCCTCCACCCCTCCCTCCCTCCCTCCTTCCCCAACCCCCACAGTTTCGGAGGAAATCGGGCGAAGTTGGGCTGTGTCCTGTATGGACTGGCTTCAAACGCTGTGGAAACAGCTATGATGGTGAGGGTGGCGGTCGGAGAAGGGAAAAGGGGATCGTATTGAGAACCTTCTAATACTGATGGTGGTGATGGGGGGATGGTCGCAAAATTTTTGAAAAGTGCGAACGTGACGGTTGACCCTGGTGTTAACCTTTCCCGCAACAGACGACCACGCTGCTAGTTACATTTCGCAACTCATTTCGTTATTCGTGTTCCGCCATCAAAATTGTAGAAGGGAAGCCTGTTAGATCTATGTAGGGGATAAAAAGAAGTCGTGTCAGAAATTTTGCCTCAATCACTACTTTCAAAACTGAGGTAGTTTTTGGAAATAAATGTTTGTTGTTTTTTTTTAAATTTGCAAAATTTCAGGCGACCATTTCTCGACCTGAGCGCCGGAGACAAGATCATCCGTGGTCTAATCTACTTCATCGTTATTGCCTACTGCTTCTTAGGCGTATCAATTGTGGCTGATCGTTTCATGAGCAGTATCGAAGTTATTACCAGGTATGTTAATATATTATAGTGCTGATAAAAGATGCTTTCTGTTATTCCACGAAAATGTCGAAAAACTAAGGAAGTTCGTGGCGGGGCTGCTGAATTTTTCAAGCGCTTTTTACGGAATTCTTTCAAGTGCATTTCTTTTAACACTATAACGGAAGTGGTTCTCACGCAAAAGTCTCAAGCGCTAGGTTAACGACCATGGGAGAATTTTAACACATTGACGAAAGCGCGCGTTTTGGCTGTTGTGGCCGCGTGGGACATGAGCAGTCTGTTGGGAGCGATCTCTGAGACGCGCACCGCGTACCACAGTCCAACTAGGAGCGTTTGTCGGAATTCAACACTGAACGCACCGAAATAGGAGGGCAATGGGAGCTGGGAGGGGGGTCAGTGGGCATCGCGGCACACAACCTCTTTGTGCCCCTCTAGAAGAGTAATCCCTATTACGAAAATACAGGCCGTTAAGCAAAGGAATATTAGTGATCCAACGAAAGTGGAACGTAGGGTTAGCCAAGCCGGAAGTGGAGCCGAGGGACAAGTCCAAAATGACGGCATATGACTTTCTCGTTTACGACTTTCGAGGGGGGCTTCAACTACGCCGGTGCGTCGCTGCCTCTATCCTTCCTCCCACCTTCAAAGCGCTCAAAACAGCTTAGTTTCAAATGCATATCTAACCAATTCATGGACCCTACTTTGACTCGTTAACATTAATCATCAATGTAAACCTATCCAATTACTGCAGAAGCCGCGCATCGCTAGAAAGTATGCCCCAACGCGAGGCTCGCGACCACCGCTCAATTCCTGCGTGCCTCAAAGGAACACTGTCCAGCTTTGTCGTAATGTTTATTTCGCAAACTTGTAACAATATAATCGCAGAGTTCCATGTAGAATTCCAAAACCTATTCATAGGAAAGAAAATTAGTCGTGAAACGCCAAGGTCAACGATCCCAATGCAGGTACCACTACAATATCGAACGATACAGTTCGAATCCTGACTCTCCATGGCGACTGGGAGTTTTATGGAGTGTTTACTACAGCACTTCATATTTAGCCGGATGGAGGTGGTGGAGTAATACGTGGCATCAGTAATAAAATGCACGGTCTGGAGATCTAATCCCCGTTCAAATCTCGCCCAAACCAACTGAGAGCCTTTCATCCTTCTGACGTCGATTACTTGCTGACAAACTCGTCCGGAAACTTAAACTCACCAGTTCGCATCTAGCCTATATAGCGACTGGGTTCACTGAAAATCACTGGAGGATCATATACTTGATCGTCCTTCCAAGCCAAAGCAACACTCGCAGGGAATAGAAATTTGGTGGCGCACCACCAAAATGGCCCCCATAAAGGAATTTCAGTAAAAACTATGGATTTGTTGTAGAGAGGCCTGTTCCGTGTTCACTAGTTCATTAGAAGATACGGATACTTTAGTGCACAATGGACTCTGGAATCCTTTTTGAAATCACTCAGCGAGATGCACATTTTTGGTAGATTCTCATCTGTTTGACAAACGATGCAATGTACGAGATGAGGGTTGCATTCTACTGTCTTTGCTGTGACGAACTTTTGCCATCAACCATACTGCCCAAATCATTTCACTGCTCTTGCTTCTTCACATGCCCGCAATCTTGGTAAATAATACTATGAATCGGACCATCCAACTGCTACGAAGCTTACAGACTCGATAATCATATGCTAAGATTTCAATCCGTAAAATGTACCCAGAGGAGAGTGAATGAATCCCAGCCTAGGGTAGCTGTGCATTTAACCTCACTTACTTTGATAAGGAGTCTCCACTACCTTATATGGCTTCCTCCGTCAAAGCAAAATTGAACAGTGCTTACCGAAGTACAAATCTCGTTCCAATTCATATCATTCGATTTCCAAAAAGCATCGCCCACTTGCTTATTTTTCAGGCTCTTCGCCTCGTGAATTTTGCTCTCCATCATGAGTTAGACATGATTAGGTCATAATTTATGTTAGAAACAAATACACTATCTATGATTCGGAGTACAACAGTAATGCAATAAATACCTTGACTATAGTAGTGCAAGTCTTTAGCCTTACAGTAAAGCAAGAAGCATTCGAGAAGCCGGTTCTTGACCCAACACCATCGTCGGATCAGCCGCTTTTAATCTGTTCATGATCATCGCCATCTGTGTTGCGGTAAATTCCCAGGGAGAAGTTCGTCGGCAAAAACATTTGGATGTGTTTTTCGTAACCGCTTCATGGTAAGTTCACAAAATCACCATTACTTCACGGTCATACACTGCTTATTCGTGTTGAATAGCTCGTCAATTTCTACCCCCAGATTTGTACAACTTTTGAGAAGTTTGGCAATTGGTGGCGAAAGGCCCACAACCCGAGAAATGGGCCCCTTCCTTGCCCGTTGATTTGAGCATTGATGCGACTATCATCGCTGTGCCCTCTTCAACACTACGCTCTCTCACCTATCTAATCACTCGCCACGTATAGACCTGCGGCGAGTGATCAGATGATCGGTGGGCGTGCACTGGCCCACCGCGCCAAGATTGAGCCTTAATAGGTCGCCGAGGTCAACTCCTTCGGTGCCAATTGCGCTTCAGTCCGCACCCTTAGGAGGTCCGCGGGTTCCTCAATCTAGGTCAATTACTCCTTCTTTCCGATCTCCATCTTCCCAATCGTGATTCGTACTCTAAGTCTCACAGTATCGCACCTCCGCACTGGAGATTTCCTTCTCACTCTAGGAGACTACTTTTTAGCACCTACGTACCTATTACCTCCCGAATTGTGGCTTTAGGGGTTTTGTAAAGTATACGTAAAGCTCAGCGAACAGCATAAATTGTGCAAACAACAGCATTGTGAAACTTTACATGCATTATAAACTTGAAATGAAAGTGGAAAAGTGCGAGATCCTCAAATGAAACCTCAAATAGATACACATACCGGTCAAAAGTGTTCGCCAAAACGGTATTCTGAGCTTCTCTTTTTTTTGTCGGAAACCAACGGTGGCCTCGCGAATTTTTTTTGAATATCTTGACTCATTAAGATTTTAGGATATAAATCGCAAAAGCCGAATCAATTCCTTGGAAGCCGTTGCTCAGTCGCAAAGGAAAAAAAAGAACTAAAAAACCTAAACGTTCGACGATTACTTGTGATCGCTTCTGTATATCAGTATGAGTTGATTTCATCTGTTGAATGAGAGCCATTATAATTCTGCACTCATTTTCTGAAAGCAAGACCTCTTGCTTACTCCGCTTGCACGATTCTGCACCCGTAGATTTAAATGGATCTGTCGGTAATTATCTCACCTCAGCTTCGTTTTTGAAACATGTCTGTCAGAGATCACGATGTCTGCAGATTTGAGCTAAATTGGACTCAAATCGGCTTAGGCAAGCGATGTGCGTATGAAGTGAATGAGACAGAACTCAGTAGTTTCGTCGATCTAAGGTATTTTTCTTGCAGGGTCGATTGTGAGGCATCAATTGTGTGATTGAGAGGGTTGCCCTCATCCTGATTGTTCCATTGTCAGAGGCTGACCTTAAAACGCTTACCAATCCGAACGCTTTATACTTGTAATTCATATAAACCTCAGTATTAAGCCCGATCTAGTATGATGGATTCCCTGTGATCGGCGGTGAGTGGCTTCTGGCTTTGGGACCTTCCTTTCCTCACTTCAAGGACATTCCTACCAACTTGCATCTACCCCCGATCCGTAGTTTTAAAAGAGATTCTTACCGATAAATTGGCGGTCAAGAAGTAGGATCCATCATAAAAGGAGGGCAGCGCCTTTGAAAGTTGGAATCACTCTTTCTTAGGGAAGTGTACCCCGTAAGCAAGTGAAGCAGGCCTTATTCGTGACCGATTGCGCCGCCGCTCTGCACTCGACTGGCTACCCTTTCTCGTCGGACTTTAGCATCTATCACTAGCTTGCTTAGCGAACGCCAAGAGCAGTACTGTCGAGTTGATTAACGTCGACACCTGATTGTAGTTGCATAGAAGTCGGAAGTCAACAGCACACATAAATATATCCCAAGTTCTCAGTTCGTGGCCGCTTTTCTTGTTATCTTCCGTCCTACATCCTGGCGCAACTCTATCTTGCTTTCTGATGCTAACTGCTGTTTTCTATTGTTGAATCGCTTCAATACCCAATACACGAATCGCATTAAGATTAACCCGAGAAAATCCACCCAGCGATCATCAACCTGCCTTGCACTCAAACACATTTTTCAAGCAAAATCAACACACCATAACTAATCGCATTTGCGGTAACTGTTAGCCTCATTCGCTTTCCTGCACTTACTGAAGCCGTGGCCCTGCGCGCCTCCTAAATCGATGCCGTAGAAGTACTAGAGATTCACCAAAATTCACCGTGAGATTAGTGATACTTCCGGTTCAAAATAAGAAACCTTATTCATATAGCAAGTAATAAGAAGTTCTCACATATGAGATTGCGCACAACCACTCTTTCCAAAATACATACGCAAGTTACAAACTTTGAAGACCGATCTTGTGCAAAAAAGCAGCTAATTTAAAACTGGCATTAATTTTCAAACAACCCCGCGTGCACCAATAAATTTGGTAACAACATCATTGGAGGGACCTTGTATTTGAATGATCAACAACTATAAAGTTTTGCAGAATATAGTCTGCAATGCAGCAATAGAGATACTGCAAGATCATTAGTTATGGTCACTTCCAGCACGAGCTCTAGCTTGCGGAAGCTAGGACTTCATTTCAACAGAGTCTGCAACAGCAGGGGTGGTTCAACTTTCGCGACTCAAGAAGAATCGGCACGGGATTTCTAAGAAATTGGTTACCTCCAGGCGGTATTCAATCCTTCCCCCAGGGGGATATATCCCCCTCCTGATTCAATCCTCTGGGGGACAAAAAAGGGTTGCGTCATAGGACCTAGCATACCTCTGTGTTTCTACCTGCCAGACAGTTAGAGCAGCGCTACTACCCTCCACTGATGAAGCACTCTTTCCCCTGAGGGGTCGCGCTGCTCTAACTGTCTGGCAGGTAGAAACACAGAGGTATGCTAGGTCCTATGACGCAACCCTTTTTTGTCCCCCCAGAGGATTGAATCAGAGTAGGGGGATATATCCCCCTGGGGGAAGGATTGAATATAATACCGCTCCCAGGTATCAACGACTCACACATCCTAAGGCTCCTCAGCTACCAATGCCTTCTCGCTACTCTCTCACTGCTCTCTCTCGTTCCCGAATCTGTTCCAATCTCTAACAGTCAGCGCTTCTCCCAACTAACGCTTAATAATAAACATCTGTGCCATATTCCCAGTGGCCTCTTCTCAATTTTCTCTCACCCGATGCCTCATATCTAAAAGTCAACGTTGTATAGTTATCAAAAAAGCTGAATCCGGATTGTTGGAAAACTTAGGGGCTCCAGCTTGTATTCGTACCCCGGATACCTCCTGCTGTCGGCATTTTGCTAACCACTTACCTACAGCCGGCAACTCACCCCAACCAGCATAATGGAAACCACAGTTATGACTCAGAATTATATCGATACAAAAGGCAACCATTCAACTTGGGTTAAGGCCTGGGAGTTGTTACAGGAGGAAAAAGTAAAAACAATGGGAATGGCCCCAGAACCCGACCCAAACTGGGACATCCTTCCATTGCTTGTTGATTTTCTACGCGCTGATAGCTCTCTCATCTTTGCGCCCCTTCACTCTAGCGCTCTCCCTAATACCTAATACTCACGCGTCTAGAACTGCGCGAGTGATATATATCCTATGTGCATCCCGCCAACCGCAGCACGATGGGGTCCATGCTAGCCGCCAAGGCAAAATATTTTGCTGCAATTCATGTCCTTCCACAACATGGACCGGCAGAGGAGGTCCGTCAGTCTCCCAGTAGGCTTTTCCCCTTTTTCGACTTTCGTTCTCGACGTGGAATCCTCCCAAAGGCAAGCCCCGAAATTGTGCCCTGCTTTGCTCTATTACCACATTAGAGTTCACTGAAGATTGAGGCCTTAATCTTAGCGTTTCCTATGGCTTCTCGTGCTTTCCTTTCCATTTCCAGTTCATTCCGCAGCTCAGTCATAACTACGAAACGCTCCCACACACCAGTTTATCCCGTCCTTCAGGTTTTCCCATAACTCAGCTCTTGTGATAACAATCGCAACGCGAACTGTTGCGTACAACAGCCGTCATCAAATTAAAATTATGTCAAACTGTAAATAATGTGAAAAACAAACAAATAGAAGATGAGCTGGAGAAGTTGTTTGAGATTGGAGATTCCTCTGAACGCCTTCATGGAAAGCAGATCATTTCATAACTTTGAGATTTCACGATTAGAAATCACAAGTTGTTGTTCATGGAATTACCAAAATAACGAAGCTGTTTTGTAAATGAATTCATTAAGGTCAATTTTTGCTTATATATGGATGTATGTGATCCTCGCTGTGACATCGCCGGGAGAGATCGAAATTTGGGAAGGATTGCTCACATTCGCCTTCTTCCCACTTACTGTGTTCACGGCCTGGATTGCCGATATCAAAATTATCCAGGTAAGTGAGAGATGCAGTGGTAGGAAGAGTAAAGCAAGCCCATATCCTATTTCAGACTCGATTCCTTCCTCGTCGCTATCGCCGTGGATCTCATGGTATGATTGCCACCGAGGGTGAGGAGCTGAAAATGCTGGAAAGCAACGGAATCACACAAGCCTACAAGGATTTCAGCCAGGTAAAGCTGTTATTGAGTTTTGCTGCTGTTTACTTTTCCATCACCATTTTGAAAACATTTTGCTTCTTATTGTATCAATATTGAAAAATTACGTGGTTGCAATGAAATTCAATAGCAAAGTTGTTGCGTTCTCCGCAGGGTTGGGAGCCCTTGGAACCGCTCGCAATCTAGGAGATTACGGTGAAGCCTCTGTATGGCCTCAAGCATGCCTGTTTGGCCAACCAGTTTTATGCCATTGATCTGGCCCATCAAGCAGCCTGAGGGGCTCAACAGAGGCTCTACCGTAATCTCGTGAATTGAAAATGGTTCTTCTGCTTCGGCAGAATCAGTGAGTCTAATCCAATGCTTCGTCTTTGAGCCGGATTTCGTTGATCCTGCTGTCCGAGCATTCGAAGAGCACAGACGCGAGTTCATAGAGTTGATGAGGGAGATCCGGAAGAAGAATCCACATATATCACCCACGGAATTGCAGAAGCAGGCTGAGTACGAGATGATAACAAGGTCTGTATTCAAATCACTTTGGGTTCGAGGTGTCTCAGAGGTGTGCACTGAGTTATTCAGAGGTCCAAAATCGCGTGCGTTCTACCGTGTACAGGCTACTAGACGTCTAATTGGCGGTGGAGACATCGTGAAGAAGCGAATCGACAAAGAACATAACAAAGCTATCGACATGGTGCGAATACACCTGCATATCTATTGCACGAACTAATTTTTCCTTCACTAACATACCCACACTGCATGTTGCTTTCAAGTACGACCCATAAGTGCCCTGATTCGGGCGGAAATGTCGACCTCCCATGATGTTTTGGTGGAGGAGAGTGAGAGAAGTACGAGTTCTATTTTGAACTCTATTGCATGCCGTCAATATTCTGCAGCTTTTGTTGCACTGCTTTCATAGCCCATCGAGGCTAAACTTTCGCATTAGGATAAGCTAGACGATTACTAATAAACCTATAACTCCAGATCTCATGACAATATGATCAGTTGGCGCTATCGCAAGATCCCGGGGCATGTTCCAGAACTAAGCCTAAGATAAAAAAGGATAAAGGATAAAGCATTTGCCGTTGATCAATCCCTTTTTGGGATGCGGCACGCATTCTACTTCCATTTGTACATTCGTAGTGGCGTTTGAATGCGATGTGGCCTATACAATGACTTGGCCAGCCGATGTACAAGTCAGTGTTTTTATCCTCCCAGACAAGTCTGGTACCAATTAACCGACCCCGGAGGGATGGAAGGCTTGGTTGGCCCGGGCGACTCACGACCCAGGATTTGATCCCCGGACCGCTCGCGTGGTAAGCGCGCCACTTGCCACTACACCACTTCCGCCCCCCCACTAAGCCTAGAGGGAGCAGAAACTTCGGGAAATTTAAAATTTCTCACGCACCCTGGGCAGAAACGTTCGGCGAAAATTTAAAATTGTTCTCACGCAACCCTATTCATTTTTTTCCACCCTCGCCCTAGGCTTGGTCCGATTCCACAAAGAAGGTGCTTCCTGCCGTTTTATATGCCATCAGTGCCCCCGTATCTTGCGATAGCGCCTCATCAGCCTTAACCTGTCTATACTAACCGCATCCATTATGCACAGCCTGAGATTTTTCAGTTGGTGCAGGCACAAGAGAAGCAAACAAGAGAAAACACATGCAAGATATTCTTTGATCCAGCACATTACACAGTACTCGAGAATGTCGGATCATTTGACGTGGTTGTTGGCAGGTGGGGTCCGGATAGTACAATTAAAAATCAAAATGAATTCAGACGGAAAGGGGCCTGATTTCAGAGACGGAGGACCAGATGGCCTCACTGTGATGGTGGATTACTACACCGAAGATGGTACCGCTAACGCTGGATCGGATTATGTGCCTGTCAAAGGAACTCTTACGTTCTATCCGGATGATAGGAACCAGGTAGCGCAGAGCTTAGGCCATAATAATTTCGCTTTAAAAAGTACTGCCAAATATAGGCACTTCAATATCTTTGATAGATCAGTTAGGAAGGATACTGTATCTACAGTAAGCTTTACAGAAAATTAGCATCGACATCGTAGACGACGATGTGTTCGAAGAAGACGAACATTTCTACCTGCATCTGAGAAACCTTCGTGTTCGTACCAAAGACGGTCTGATCCTGGACCCGTCGCGAATCGGAGGATTGCCCGTGGCACAGCTTGAGATGCCTGCCACTGCCACCATTATGATTCTAGGTTGGTAAAGTGTTGATAGGACTACCGGTGTCCAGCTCACTATTCCGACAATCTTCAGATGACGATCACGCCGGTGTGTTCTCGTTTGAGCACGATCACTATGAAGTTGTTGAAAGTTGTGGTTTCTTATCCCTCAGAGTTCAGCGGCATTCGGGAGCCAGAGGAAAGGTTGTGATCCCATATAGGTAGGTGATTAGAGGAAACGGGTATGCAATAGCAATAACTTGAACGGCTTCCAGAACCTATGACGGATCCGCTATTGGAGACAAGCATTTCGAAGCCAGGGAAGGAGAAGTGACGTTCGATGACAATCAAACTGAGTACGTTTAGTGGTTGTTCCTGTTAAGCTCAATCTTGTACAGGGCCCACAATTTTTATCAATCTAGTTTTCGGCATTGATGCCCTCGTAGAACACCTAAACAAGTTATTCCTACATCTGTACCCCATTTGAGTCTTGCGGGCCTCAAAATGCAACTCCAATTCGAGACAAAAGGCGAACTCGGATTGCGAAACGTTCAGATCTAATTCTAGGTGAAGCGCCAGAGTTGAGCGAGGGGGGGGTCGAAGCCCAAGATTAGACTTAGGCTTATGTTTGTGCTCAAAAATTAAAGGAATCCTTCGCGGAAAATTCTTGCATTCTTTCTCAACATGAATGTGTCAGTTGTGATCACTGGAACAGCACACAAAGTTTCACGCATGAAGATTCGGTTTCCGAAGAGAAACAAACGTACAAAAACTACACTCTATGGACAATCGAAGGTAAAAGGCGGCGGAGCCAAAGGCGGG